AAGAAACGCGTATTGTTGAACACCACTGAATTTTGGAGTTGTTTGTTAAGTAACATTATATGTCAATAACTGACTAATACACTAGGGAGCTTATAGTCTAGAGCAGAGGTCAGCAAACCATAACCTGTGAGCCAGTTCTGGTCCGTGACCTATTTTTAGATGGTTCATGAGCTTAGAAATCATTTTTACATTTTTAAAGGGTTGTTTAAAAACAACAAAGAAAGAAGAAGATACAACAGAGACCTTATAGGGCCTGCCAAGTCTAAAATATTTATTGTCTGGTCCTTTACAGAAAGTTTGCCAATTCTGGTCTAGAGGAAAAGGTAAGGAAGAGAAAAGGGAAATTCTCACCATGGCAAGGGAGGGAATATTTTTGTGGACTACATCCCTGCCTGGATGGCTGCCCCTAACTGGACTTTGACGATATGTTGCTGAGTGAATAAGAGACCGGTGCACTTTGAGGGGAGGCTGTGTTCGTATATGTGTGAAAACACAGGAGAGGGGAGGGATTTATGCCATTGACATAAGCAACTGATGGCTGTGAAAGTATTCCCAGGAGGCAGCAGTGTTCGCATGGATAACCTGGCAAAAGCCTTATAAACTGGAAGTAATTTCTGAAGGTCTAACAGTAATTCATGGCCTCTCCATTTTGCTTCATCTGCTTAAGAACAATTCCTAAGCCCCTCCTGGTTTTTTCCCTCCTGCAGAGCATTTATTGTTCCCCCCTACCATTTGCTGTTCTTTGATCTACATTGGTAGTGCTGGCTCTCATTGTACAGTGAGCTTTTAGAAAATATGATGAAAAAGTATCCCTTAGCAGACTGAACATGTGCTAGTACATGCTGCTTCTGCTATGTGTTTGTCTGTTTGGACAGATGCTGTGGAGTGAGCAGGTAAAGGCAGTGAGAAGTGAAGCAGAGGTACTCAATAAGTAGCATCATATTAACACAACCATCCAATAGCTGGCAACGAAAAGGAGCCATTGCTTATAACCAGATGTTCATGGTAGGAGACAAAAGAGTTCTCTGTGCTCTGCCCCTTTGTTGGTGGAGAAAGATCCTAGAGGAACATGGATCGTTATCTGCAGTACTTACATTATATAGACCAAAATTAGTTTGGCAGAAAAAAATTTCACTCCAAGCTAACTTTGGTACTTCCTCCTACCAAAATATTGTGTACAGGGGTGCAAGTAAGTGTTGCAGAACAAGGTTGTTTCTTTATTAAAAGATATAACTTGTATTGATTCCGTTTTATCATATATGTATTTTAGTTTTAATGTAATTTGAAAAAAGTCTGAAAATTGAATTGCTAATAGGGAAAGAGATTCAGTGTTGGTTGCATATACATGTTATGCCTAAAACCAATGTCCCTTTTAGAAAAGCCCGAGAGCAAGCAGAGTTTAGGTCATAAACATAGGTCTCCCATTACTGTTATTTTATCCCTTATTCTAGCCTTTGCTGACACTTCAATGTTGCCAATATAGCATTGGAGCCTTACATTTGCTCTGATTTTTAAAAATCTGGAGCTATACTCCTGGTATTTGGAATTGCATTGTACTTTTAATTGTAAGGACAGGAGGAAACTGCAAAATAGTTATTGACCTGAAAACAACATATATTTTTTAAAACAGGAACTATGTGGATGTAATAATCTTAAGACAGCACTGTGCATTTTGTCAGGTTGATGTTGATGGAATTTATGGAAAGCTTTGATCCAGTCCTAGGCTCATCTTCGCAGCTCTTGTCACCTCAGTTAAATCAGTTTACCTATATTTTTCCATTAGATCTAATTCAGGCCTTTGTGAGGGGGTATGAGGGCTACCAAAATACCTTTTCACCCAAAATATTTTATCACCTGGGTGCTTGAAGCAAAGGTTGTATTTGAGGGAAAGGAGAAAACCTTTTTTAAATTTTTTTATTAAGTCATAGCTGTGTACATTAATACTATCATGGGGTACAGTGGGTTGTTTCTCTATACAGTTTGGAATACTTTCATCCAACTAGTTAACATAGCCTTCATGTCATTTTCTTAGTTGTTGTGTTAAGACATTTATATTCTACATTTAGTAAGATTCACATGTACCCTTATAGGATAAATCATAGGCGTGATCCCACCAATCACCCTCCCTCCACCCATCCTTCCCCCTCCCCTCCCTTCCCTTTCCCTTTTCCCCAAATCCTTTTTGGAGGCCTTGAGACACCCCCAAATAAACTTCAGTTTCTTAATTTTGACTGGAGTTTGTTTTAGGGGGTGTGAGAAGTTGATATAAAAACTTCCCTTTAAATCTACCTCTTGGAGAATAGGCATTATTTGTGATGTGGCTTGAATTCTCTGGAGAAAAATCATACTAGGGCAGGAGGCTTATTCTCGGTACCTGAACACCTTAGAGATCAGGACAGAGAGTTTCTTACTCTGGGAGGATAGAACGCTGCCTTCTCCAAATGCAAGAAAGTAGGGGTGGTAAATTTCACATAGCCATTCTGCTTCTACAACTTCTGGAGAATGCTGGTGAAGGCATGATGTTTGGACTCCTAAAGGACACTGTGACATCACAGTTTCAATGACTATGCAATCACATTTTCATAATAAAACATTCAGCATAGACTTGGTTTTCAACCTTTTCTTGTCTTAATCCAGGTTCCCATCTCCAGTCTCCATATAATTTCATCTCATCCCATCCTATCCTATTATATTTCATTCTTTTCTATTTGATTCCATCCCATTTTCATCCAACCTTATCCATAGCTACCTGTTGAGTATCTACTCTGCTCTATATAAAGCATTGTTGGGTGTCCTGAGATAGAAGGTGAAGTAGTCATTGTAAAACCTTCAAGGAACATAGGATCCAATTGGAGAGATCAGATAATACATATGAAAATTGTAAATAACATAAAGCCACATGCAACTAAGTGATAATTTATAAACACACATTAAGCATTTGAGAGAAGAAAAATATAGGTTTAGATGATGGAGATGGCTTCAGGGCAAAGATGAGTTTGAACACAAACCTGATAGATGAGTAGTTTTTATAGGGACAGGGAAGAAGGAGGGCATTCAGCATAAGGGAAATAATAAATGAAGAAATGTATACTTGATCTTAGCTAAAAGGCCAAGAAGCAAAGAAATGTATCTTTTATCTTTCTTCACATGTTTACCACAGCTCATAAAATAGTAACTTCTACTGTGCTGGGAGTATTGTAAAGAATGTGTTCATTTTTATTCATCTCGCTCACATTTTGTTCTCCATGAGGACAGAAATTATTTACCTGAGTGGTAGAATGGTTAGCCTATGACAACCTTGGGTCCATGATTTTCTACAGAACTGCACCGATAGAATGGAGATCACTATGTTTGTGTGCCACTTTTTTTTCCCCATCTGTGCTCGATAGGCTGTGAGGGAAGCCACGTTTCCTTAAACGTCTGGATCTTCTTTGTATGTAGATCCAGTTCCCTTTGTGTGAGTCTCAAGGTCTACACTTAGGATAAAGAAGTAGGAAGTAGATTCACCTTCAGATCTGAGTCACATTCTTTAAGACATCTTTAGTGGAAATAAAACAGGTATTTTGACTCCCATCCCATCCTTATATCCTTTTACCAATTATTTCAAAATTCAGAGGAACAAAGTATGAATAATTATCACTTATGGGTCACAGCATAATGCATTCACAAAAATAGAATGTTTGAGATGGGTGGAAGTAAAGAGGAAAAGGAAAGGAGAAGACTAGTCAGCCAGAGGGCCTTTGGCAGGAAAAACCCAAACAGGCAATGAGGTGGGATAAGAAGAAGGGACAGACTGCAGAAGGCCTTGGTTGCCAAAATATGGATGGTAGTGTTCACAGTCTAGCTGCTGCAAGTGAGGTGTAAAATTAATTTCAACACAATGAGTTAAATGCGTAATGCTATTATAAAGATGCTTTGAGAGAATGGGAGAGGTGAATTCTTCTTGAAAAGTGCGTGAGGAGATGCATGAGGAGAAAGACGGGAGAATGGTGGAAGGTCTTACAGAGGTGGAGCACTGCAAAGCTGAGGATGGTCCAGTGCGTTAGCAGCGTCTCCTCCCATCTCCATCCCAGCAGTTGCTTGGGAGGCAGCAAGAGATGAGGCTGAACAAGTAGGCAAAAGAGAGTATTATTAAAGAGCTGTTTTTGGGGATGAAAGCAGGAGGAAGCCCCTGGAGTTTGTTTCATTGTACAAACTCATACATTGTGGCACAGAGGATTTAGGAGCCGTGGGAATGTGTCCCCTAGAACTAGGAACACAGGGTGCCACCCACCATGTGAAATCTGACATGAACTTAGTTGGCAAGAGTTCTTTGGAGAGAAAGAGGGGCTGTTTTGCTACGGGTTGTACGTGTGTGAGGATTTCTCCACTTGCTGAGGCATTCATCAGAGATGCCTGCTTGTTATGTTTTCAGTGGGCATCTACTACTGCTGGTGCTGAGAAAAGCCTCGGAATGAGCATAGTATCTGTGAAGAGGTTGCAGTGGAGACCTGCTTTTGGCTACACAGAATGGGGGTGGATGGGGAGCCAGCTTGCCAGCTTCTTAACTCAGTCACAGTGGACTTCCCCTTTTTCTTTCTAGTGTTTTCCTAGCTGTCTCTATCTTACAGCTTAAGTGGGAAACATTGCTTACAGTTCTTGAATATTAACAAAAGCCCCTTCCTATGGAATGTGGAATCTGGAATTGATTTAAAAACCCTTCAAACCTGGTGATTATCTTAAAGCATCTTTAAGGGCACACTGAAGGGTAAAAGAAAAGCCCTGACTTCTGCTCACAAATCACTTTTCCAGTGCTAAATAAGCAGGGCACTCCCCAGCTTCAGTTCACTCCCAACTCCAGCACTCAGCCCCTTCCAATAGATTCTGTAATTTATTTATGTTCTTTACAGTTTCTCTCCCACCTGAATATAAATTACTTGAGAGCAGGGATTTTCGTGTTTTATTAACAACTCTATTCTCAGTGCCTACAACACTGTCTGGTAGCTAGAAAAACCTCCATTATATTTACCTGTCAGGGGAGATACCAGGATCACAAAGGTGGTTTTCCCAGGGACAGGTTCATCCATTGCAGTCTGGGTGTGCTGATCCCAGCGATTTCCTCAAGTGTGGGGAATTGGACTCTATAATTTATGGTAGTGGGGGACTGCATTTCTGCTTTCCCCTGGGGAAAAAACCCCTCAATTAATATTAATAGTTATATTTGTTTTATTTTGTATGAATGTCCAGATAGGGAAGGTAGCAGGCACAGTCTGCCCCCACCCAGCCCCTACCCCTCATCACCTGTCCCATGAGAGCCCACCAGCCTGACTTCCAACTGCCAGCACTAGCACTTCTTTACCTAAGGGATTTCTTTACCATCACATTCACAGCCTGTTCTGCTCTGCAGCACATGACAGGCCAGAAGGGCAAAGAATTTACACCCTCTAGGAGAGGCCTTAAACTAGTGGCTAACTGAAGGGAGCTGGTGAATTAAGACCTCAGCTGCCTTGCCTGACCTCATTTGGCATAATTCTGAGGTGTACGATTCTGAGGCGCATGTTCTACACTAACTTCCTCCAGCAATTAAGTTCTAGTTGTCCACAGTGCCACTTTTTTGAAACACATATCTTGTATTAGTTGCCTTCCTTTCCCTGTCTCACTTCCCCACTCCCCTATTAGTGTTTTGATGAGATCACCTCCCAAATAAACCATTTGAGCTTTAAATCTTGTTCTATTCCTAGGGGAACGCAAACTGAGGTTGAAAGCATTCAAAAAATATTTAACTTAGGTGCTTGGAGAACTGGATAACCACATGTAAAAGACTGAAAGTGGACCCACACTTTTCACCACTTACAAAAACTGACTCAAGATAGATAACAGATTTAAATCTAAGACATGAAATGATAAAAATCTTAGAAGAAAGTGTGGGAAAAACTTGATGATGTTGGACTGGAGAAAGATTTTATGACAAAGACTTTAGCAGCCGTTGTAATAACAACAAAAATTAGCACATGGGACTTAATTAAGCTTAAAAGCTTCTGCACAACTAAGGACACAACAAGTAAAGCAAATAGGCAACCTTAGAATGGGAAAAGATATTTACAGGGTATGAATCTGTCAAATGGTTGATGACTGGAATCTACAGAGAACTCAAATTGATCAACAAAAAAAGAGCAAACAATCCCATCTACCACTGGGCAAGAGATATGAATAGAACCTTCTTGGAAGAAGACTGAAAAATGGCTAACAAACTTTTGAAAAACTTCTCAGCATTCCTGATTGTCAAAGAAATCAGAACCACCCTGAGATATCACCTAACCCTAGTGAGAAGAGCCCACATCACAAAGTCTCAAAACTATAGATGCTAGCATGGGTGTGGAGAGAAGGAAACATTTTTACACTGCTTGTGGGACTGCAAACTAATACAACCTTTAAGTATGGAAAATCCTCAAAGAACTCAAATTAGACCTCCCATTTGATCCTGCAATGCCATTGCTAGACATCTACCCAGAAGAAAAAAAAAATCCTTTTATCATAAGGACATTTGCACTAGACTATTTACCCAGCTCAATTTACAATTGCCAAAATGTGAAAACAACCTAAATGCCCACCAATGCAGGAATGGATTAACAAGCTAGGGTATAGGTATACCATGGGATACTATTCAGCCATTAAAAAGATGGAGACTTTACATCTTTTGTATTAACCTGGATTGAATTGGAACACATTTGTCTTAGTAAAATATCACAAGAATGGAGAAGCAAGAATCCAATGTATTAAATTCTAGTATGAAGCTAGTAGATGATCTAATATATACTCACATAAGACAAAAAAAACTCAAATCAATTCAAGGTGGGGGTGGGGGGAACAAGGGAATGGAGAGAAGGGAAGAGGGAGGGGAATGGGGGGTTATGGTATATGGCACACCTCTTGGGGGTGGGACATAACTATAAAAGGGACTTTACCTAACAAATGCAAATAGTGTAACCTAATTCTTTGTACCTTCAATGATCCTGAAACAATAAAAACAAAAAAGTACTAATTACCTATTTAAAAATAGTTAAATAAAAGTAAATCTTTACCTGTGAACAAATTAAACTTATTTAATGATTATACTCTTATTCTACCTTTTATGCCTATTAAAGTAAGCAGAAAACGGGTAGGCTGTACTTGAAATTTGCCTGAATTTTTTTTTTTTTTGTGTGTGTGTGTGTGTGTCAATATTTGAATACATTCACATGTATGGCATGTATTTGACATCCACGTATTTTCCCACAGTCACCACTAATCTTTATTATATTATCCCCACTGACTTTGTAAACTTCATTACCTGCTTGGATCCTGTAGACCAGGGGTCAACAAAGTTTTCTTCTATAAAACACTAGATAGCAAATATTTTAGGTTCTGTAGGAGGTCTCTGTCACACCTACTTAATTATGCCATTGTAGTGTGAATGCAGCCATACAATACCTAAATGGATGAATGTGGTTATGTTCCAATAAAATTTTATTTATGGACTCCAAAACTTGAATTTCATATTATTTTCCTATGTCACAAAATATTATTCTTCTTTTGATTTTGTAAAACCATTTTAAAATGTATCTATTTTTCTGTCCTCCTCGACTGTACAAAATAGGCAACAGGCTGGAACTAGCCAGTGGGCTATGAATTGCCTACACCTGCAATAGGCACTCACATTGGAGCTTTTGGCTCTAGAGAGTGTGTTCTGAAAGGCAGCATACTGAATTAAAAAGCATAATTAAAAGGGGTTTGATGTCCTATCTATACAGTGGAATAAGAAAGTATATATTGACACATTCTATGACATGGATAAACCTCAACAACATTATGCTAAATGAAACAAGCCAGTTGCAAAAGACTGCCTATCGTATGATTCCACTTATATGAAATGTACCGAACAGGCAGATCCATAGACACAGGAAGTAGGTAAGTGCTTGCCTAGGGCTGGGGGAGGATTCTATGGGAGAATAGAAGAGTGATGACTAAGGAGAGTAGAGTTTCTTTGGGGGATAATGAAAATGTTCTAAAGACTGGTGATAGAGGCACAACTTGGTGAATATATTAAAATCTACTGAATTGCACACTTTATATGAATAAATCATATGGCATGTAAATTATATCTCAATAAAGCTCTTTTTTAAAAGGGCTTTGAGATCTAGAAAATTTGGAGTTGGGTCCTTACTATTTAATACACTTGTCAATATGAGCCAAGTGAACTAAAGAGGTAAATCTAAGTGATGGAGAGAAGGATGAATCCTCTGTGTCTGGTTTCTCAGGAAAAAGTAAATAGGACTCAAATGAGGATAGAGAAGTGAGGGTGATAAGTATTTTAGTCTGGGGAGTAGAGAGAGCAAAGTATAGCAATAAGCAATAGTATTATAAACTTTGCTATGCATCAGGTCTTGTACCAGCTATTGGGGCTCAGTATCATTTATTCTCCAATTCTTTATGGTAGTTATTATCTCTGTTTTGCAAAAGAAGAAATCAAGGCTCAGAAGGATTAAATGATTTGCCCAAGATCACCCAGCTAGCAAGTCTACACATAGTATCCAAATTTAAATCTGTCTTCAATTACAGATTTATACACCTTCCATTAATAATTATATGGTAATCATAGTAAACGCTTCAATGAGATTGCTGTGTGCCAGACACAATTCTAAGTTCTTTGTATAGATTAGCTCATTTAAACAACACTGAGGCAATGCTGGCTGAAAAAAATTGAAGTGTGTTATGGATTGATTGATAAAGGAAGATTTAATCAAAAAAAAGTTATTTCTTAAAGTTATTTCCTAAAATTGGAAAGTCAGATAATGTCATTATCTGTGTGTGAATTAGAATTTTCCTTGGCAGAATATTATTAAAATTATTTTCCTGGCATACCTAGGAAGAATTGAAATATTAGCTTGCTTATAACTGAAGTTAGCCAAGAAACCATTCTCTAATTGTATGAATTTTCTCCTATAGCCAAAGAGCAATATTAATGTTTATAGCCAAGACCATTCTAATGTTTAGGTTTCAGATACTAAGTAGGTTTGGCTCAGACATATGTTATACATCAAAGAGAATTTTGGTCAGCAAAATCAGTCTTATAAAATATGTTTTGATTTTGTCAATGTGCCCCTATAATTAGTATAGAATAGGTAGTTGAGATCTCCTCTTACATTTCTCTTACTGGGTCACAGAATAAACTAAGCAGAGGAGATTTGAGTCCCCCCAGTTCTTAAAAGCCTTGTGGGAAAGAGACTAGGGAAAAGCTAGCTTTTCTCTAATGAATAGTATCTTGGCAGTTCTGTGCACTCTAAAAGTATGAGCCTTTCTAATAAACTGAGATGTCATAGTAAAGTTTGTCACCTTTCAGTTTCAGGTCATGCTTTGAGTGTTAAAACCCTGATGTTATCCTCTCTGTAGAATGGGAAGGATGGAAGTTAGTGCGTCAATATCACCCTAATAGCAATAAGCCACATCCATTCCTACAAAGTATGCCAAATATGTAAATCTTCAACCTTACAACCAAAACTCTGGGATTTGGTGCCATTTTTCTTTTCCTGTGCGGTCCACACCTCTGATATATCTATATCTATATCTATCTATCTATCTATAGTCCTTCTTTGCCTTTTAAGTACTTTATATCAAAAAGTACTGCTGCCATGGCTAAGGAGAATTGAAATATTATGCAGTCTATAACTTCCTTAAGTTAGCCAAGAAGGCATTTTGCAACATTTTGAACTTATCTTGTAGCCAGAGGGCAATCATTGAAGTTCTATGAAAATGGGGTTGACACAATGTGTTCTAGAAATGTGAATCTCTGTTCTGTGTGAAGAATAAATTGGAAGGGATACTAGAGACTAAATGTAGAAATAGCACTGCTTAGGCATTATTACAATGTTCCTAGTTTGAGGGAGTGTATTACAGAGACAGGCTGCTGGCAGTGAAAAAGAAGGGTAGATCTAAGAGAGAATGTGTAGGAAGAACTAGTAAAAGGATATGTTTGGGAAGAGTCTGGTGACAGAAAGGTATCAAAGATGGCTTTGAGGTTTACAGCCTAGGAAGCTGTCCCTCCATTTCCCACCCTAAAATAATCCTGGGAAATAATAGGTTAAAAGATAATTAGCATTTTTATATCTCATAAGGGGTAGAGAAATTGATAAGTTACCTTAATTTTCC